GTATGCTATAACGAACGGATCCTACTACGAATATTCCTATAACGAACGGTTTTACCTATAAAATTGAGAATGCTATAACGAACGAAACTCCTACAACGAACATTATTTATTTATTTTTTTCTAATTTATTGTTTTTTTATTACAAATATTAATGATATTCTTTATTTCAGGGGTTTAGATGCATATTTATGCACTTTTGTACAATTTTATATTATATTTTTCAGTGTTAAGTGGTTGTATTTGGGGGCCTGGAACGGATTAATCCTATAACGAACAAGGTTCTAGAACCAATTAGATTCGTTATAGCATACCCCACTGTATATATATATATATATATATATAATATATATATATATATATATATATATATATATATATATATATATATATATATATATATATATATATATATATATATATATATATATATATATATATATACCACAATTACAATCATACCTCAAATGGAATAAACACATTCCTTTCAGCAGGAGACACTTGTACACAGTTCAACTTTGGAAACTTAATATTTTTTCCATATTGGTTCTTGAAGTAGTTTTCAATGGTGCAGTAAACTGTGTTCCCAGTATTCTCATCTTTTAAAGGAAATGTTTGTTTCTCAGCAGAATGTTCTGAAACATCTATAATCTTGTAAGTGCGAGGGATATTGGAGTGTGTAACTTGCACCTGAAATATAAAAGTTACTTTAATTGGTGAGGTTTTGCAGAGAGGTAGAGTTATATGGTTTGGGCGTGTGGAGAGAATGGAGAAACCATTTGAGTCAAGGGATGCAGGAGTTTGAATATGGAGGGGAGGAGAACAAGGAATAACAAACAGAGGATGTGAGAAATGTCAAAGATATTAATCTGACAAAAGAGGAATGAAGACACAATGCACCTTGTTAAGTTGCCTACAGATAATCACAGCTAACTTATATAAGCACAATAAATGGTTGTAAAACATTAATGATGATGTGGATGATGATTAAAACATTATACAATCACCCACAAAAGTCCTGTCACCTCTCCTCTTGAAACACAAACCCCGACATTTACTCATGAATCCAAAGCATTTTTGGACAGAATAATGCATCAGTTTCTACTGCTTCAGGTTCACGAGTCTAAATCTCTTGGGTTGTAACTAATTCCATAAGAAAGTGAGCCTTGCACAAGTAATTCCAAATCATTAAATGCTGGACTGTGTTCTCTATGACTTCTTACCACATTCATTAACTCTACAAATTTTATTCCAAAAAGAAAAGCTACCAGCTTTGTACGGTCTTTTATATACAGGGTGTCTATAATTTATTCACCTGATTATGAAGCTCAATAATACCGAAATTTTCCCTGATAATTTTAGATAACTCAGCATTTCCCAAATTATTTTATAATAAATTCCAAGACCATACACATGCCGAATTATACTGTTTAAATTCCGAGATATTAAATGCCGAGTTATAAAGATTTTGTGGTCCCTCGGTTAACAAATGGTTCGATTAACGAAATTTTGGTTAACGAATTACCGCCCATAAGGTTCTTTAATTTGGTTAACGAACAAATCTTCAATTAACGAAGTCCTTAAGAACAACACGTTTTGTTGTGAGCATCAGTTGATGGGCTAGTCTGCCAATTCAATAATCTCTTCTATGTTTACATTCGTTTCCAGTGGAGTAAATATCAAGAAAGTTGTGCTCTTTAATATTTTTGCATTTTTTATATTAAAATTATTAGTCATTTTAAAATTTAGTCAACATATTGATAATATATGCAGTACAGGGAACTAGTGTTTTGTGCGCCCATCAGCCGCTTGACTCAGCCACTTGGCGTCAGTTTGGCTTTGTTGACAGTGGAGTGAACATCTATTTTGTTGGTGTCTTGAATATTTTTGCATTTTTACATTGAAATTATTGATCATTCTGAAATTTAGTTAACGCATTGATAATATATAGCGCAGTGCAGTGTTGATTTAAATAAAATAATTTTGAATTACACCTAGTGAACTTATAATTTTATTGGTGAAATGATTGCATCAAGCATGGGTCCCTGAAAGATGATTTCTCCTCCATCCCCACTTACTTCTCTTCTCCCTTCTCATCCACCCCCACTTCTAATTCCCATCATCATCATCCAGGAACCTTCTACATACACACCTCAAAGTAAGTGTACTTTACTGCATTTTTTTTTTACTTTGTATGCACATTTCGGTGAGCTGGAACCAATTACCCAATATCCCATTGAAACAATGGATTCGGTTAACGAAATTTTCGGTTGACGAATGACCCTCTGGAACGAATTGTGTTCGTTAACCAAGGGACCACCGTATTTGCTTCTAATATACATAAGACTGCACTTACCCTAATATTTCTTAGTTCTTGCAAAAGTTTTGATCGTTTAAATGGCTCTAATGGTCTATGAAAATCATCTTCCCTAAAATTCATGAAGTCTTGAATAAAGTTCAGAAGAGGTTGTTCTTTATAGAATGCTGTGTGTGCAACTAAAAATAGAGATAAAATGTTTTAATAACAAGCAAACTAAGCGATTTAGTAGATTTAGAGCTAATGAAATTTTATAATCAATCAATAATTTCATATTTTCTGACTACTGTATAAAGAAATACATGATATTCAGTAATTACAAAACTAAATCTCAAGCAAATGTGCTATATATCAACAAGACTGGCACATTACAAGACAAACATGTATATACTCGTACAATCATACCATCAATATTCAGTAAGAGAGATCCATCCTTCCAAGATGCAGGCCTCATCGACCCAAAAAAACCAGTCACACCTTCCTTGCCACATCCAATTGGATATGGCGTTCCAAACTCTCCTCCTGCTGAGTAGAAGTTACGACGACCAACCAATTCATACTTAATGGCCCGATAATGACGAAACATTACTTCAACCATCTGTAAAATACTCAAGAAAACAAACAAGATAAAGTTAATATCTAAATTAACCCAAATTGTTAAAATTATATACTGTATATCAGGATTCATATACAGTATACCATTACTGGGCCAGTGACATCCATCTCCATCAAAAATTTATCTTGAAAGTTTCTTGTAATATGTTATACATATCAGTTTTACTGTACTGTACTGTATAGGCTGTCCTCACTACATATTTTCCATTAATACCCATATGTATTTTCATAAATACATATGACTGATACACATTTTTTCCTGTCGTGTATATTTCAGAAGCCTTACCCTAATCTACTTTGGATCTCATGGCTCAACCAAACAAGGTTCACTACACACGTCCTAATATTTTACCAACAGGTCAGGGACTTGTCCTTATATTGAGTAGCTAGTGTTTTGGGTAACTTTTATCTTGTGCTTTGTTATATAAACGAAAAACAATAATATAGGCATTTTTTCTTTTTCCATCATTGGAAGATACTGACAATGACACAGACACCTGTCAGTAGTGTGAGACAGAAAAAATCTGAACACATTAGAAATGGTCCCTACTCAAAATAACCTTTTGATTGCTTTTGTCAGCTACCCTTGGTCAAACTGCATAAATATTATTAGATCCCTGATAATTAAGTTTTCATTGCACTCAACATATTTCACCTGAAAAAGGTCTTTTTTTTATTAAAATGAATTTCAGTATACCATTTTGGGACCATGGATCATAACCCATTTTCTACATAGATGCCACTGATTTATTATTGTTAATATTTACAAATTTGTAGGGTCTGTCAAAATCTAACCATGTAGATTAGGCAAAAACAAAAAATAAGGGCGGATCCAGTTTTGTGTGGGGGGAACATGGCGAACACAGCAAGCTCACCCGGCTGGAGGGTTTTTTGGGGATAATGTAAGCCCCCCCCCACCGATTTTGTTTTTTAAATCTGACCAATGTCATGGGCATTTTGAAGCCATTTTGAAACCATGTTCACTTGATATTAGGAAATATTCTGAGGTCAATAGTACAAGTAATTACATTTTACTATACAAAAATGCCTGAGTACAGTACTGTGTTAAAGAATAAGTATTCAAATTTTCTGATGAAAAGGGGGGTCCAGACCCCCAGGACCCCCCCCTGGATCCACCCCTGAAAAAATATATAAAAACTAGGTAACTTATATTAACCTGAAATATGTTTAATGGAAGTGTCTTCTGTTCACGAGCAGAGCAGTTAAGTGCCTCCGTAAGTTCCTGGAGGTTGGCACGATGTCTCACCATTAGTGAAATTTTGTATTGTGTCCTCTTGCCATCTGATTCCTCAAGGTCAATCTTTGGTGAAAAACCAAACAACAGATAAATTAGAATGACAAAGCCTCTGTGCCTGGGTGTGTTCATAAAATTTTGGACATATATGGAAAATTACAGAGTTTAGATATTATTAAAACTCAAGGGTATATGAATGATAGAAGTCGAACTGTCACAAACAATTTTAATAGCAAAACATTACGAATTATGAGCGATTTTGAATATGAGGGATACACTTGATTGATTGTTTGTGGTAATTTCATCCCTTGCAAAGCAACAGCGTGGGTAATATGTCGTTGAATTTAAAATAAAAGCTTAAGACTAATATCAAGCATTGCAAGGTAAGAAACATAAATAATAAACAGTAGCATAAAACTTTTGTAAAAAACATTTAAACGTTAATAGATGAAACTCAAAGCTTGTGCAGAACACCAGCTTCCTCCAGGAAGGAAAGGACGTCCCCTCCCATGCTACTCACTCCCTCCCCCAGCACCAAAGACAGATCGTAAGACTCATCTTCCCCCTGGCACTGGGAGAGATGCTTCCGACGAAAGATCTCCGAGGCTGGGGCACTCCACCAGGAGGTGTTGAACAGTCAATGGGACGGGGGCACCCTCTCCATTAAAAAAACCATGAGTCCGTCGTGTGTGGCCAATGCAGAAGTAGGCCAACGCAGTCTCCCAGTGGTGCAATGGTCCCTAATGTCCCCAGGCATCCAAAGCAGGGTGGATATCGTCGAGGTTGTTTGCTCCGACAGCATCCTACCTGCATTGCCAACTCGAGCGGATGGATGGGAGCTCTTATTACTGGCTTCATATCAGAGGCAGGTAGAGAGGAATGATGTGCCACAGGGCGAGAAGCAGCTGCTTTCGACACAGACTCACCACGGGGGTAAGAATTATGGTGTTTTTACTGTACATTATGTTTTATATCCTGCTGTTATAATGATTAAAATTTCATACAGAACGTGAAAAACTAGATAAATAAAAGAAATCAATAGCAGATAGTCAAAATCATAGTGTAAATAAAAAAAATGTCCCCAGATTTGGTGTGGATCGTGGAAGTAGGTGGGGGTTCAGTGTTGGGATCACAGTCAAGCCATGAGCTGCTTGAGTTATTTTTCAATTTGCCTTTTCGGGTAAATAATTTTTTTCATACTATTACATGCACACACAATCATTCATAAAGAATGTGAAAAAAATTTACGTCCCCAGAAATGTTGGGAAGGATAGCGCCACAGTGTTGGTACGCATCTCAGTCCCCCAGGCTGTGAGCTGCATTATTGTGACACTTAAGTATTCCTTGTACCAAAGACTTTTCCAGCATGCACACCTTCATAACCTACTGTGTATTTACATACTATATAGCAGTTTAGGTCACAACTTACTGAAATGCAATTTTGGATTCATCATGCATGTACAGAGCCTATAACTGTAATAAATTTCTGAACAATTGGAGAAGGAAAAATATTGAGACCGTGTGATCTTCTGGCATGAAAGCTCAATGTTTTAACCTCTCTTCAAAGAATCTTTACTCAAACCGATTGCTAGCAACACACATTATATCATTAGATATTTCAAAATCACATTTCTACATATTTAATAAATACTCGCCTCATAAGTACTCTGGCAATCAGGAGTTTGAAGAGCAGGGATGACACCCACACTGTATGCATTCCTTTCTGAGTCATAAGCAAGTGGGTAATTCTTGAAATCCTTTTCATATATCATCTTCATTTTTTCAAATATCTCCCTTAAAAAAATACAAAAGAATGAATAATATTTAAGGTGATGTTCAGATGACAAACAAATAATTTATAGAGGGTAATATGCAGTACAGTACAGTACAGTAAACCCTTGCCATTAGGGAGAAATAGGTTACAAGAAAGGGCACGAATAGGCAAAACCGCTAATAGCAACTTATACTACTTAAGTGCACTACTGTATACAGTAAGTCCTCGCTTAATGTCGGGATTACGTTCCTGAAAACACGACGTTATACAAAACAATGTTAAGCTTATCAATTTTCCACATAAGAAATAGATAAAATGCGGGAGTTACATTCCTGAGCCTCCCTTTGCCCCATGAAATACATTACATATACAGAAAATCACTGCCATTTCTATAGAAAATAGTGCATGCATATACAGCTACTAAGTTTGTATTGCTTTATCCTCTTCACCACTGATCGGCTCATTAGCCGCTTAAGCGATGGGTCACGTTTCTGTTATGCACTGTTGGCAAGTACTGGGCATGCACCGGCTCCTGAATGTACTTGAACCTGCTCCAGTGTTGGTTAAGTCTGGTCTTAAAAGAGCTCACACCCGGTGCCGTCACAACACTTTCTGACAGATTGTTCCAAGAGTTCACAATTCTCACTCCGAAAAAGTTTGCCCTCACAGTTTTCTGGACCTGCGGCTTCTTCAGCCTCGAGCTGTGACCCCTTGTGGGGCGAGCATCCGCCAGCTCCAGGTAAGGACACTCGACTTAGTATTACATGAATGGTCACAAGTTGTTGCCCTGGGCCTAGACCTTCCACACACTCAAACCTTTCTAGTTTTCTTTTTTATCTTCTCAGTTATTCTCTGATCATATTTCCTCATTTTCATTGAATCGTTTACATAAGGAGTTGTCAGACTTATAATTGAATAAGTTTCCCTCACCCTCTTCCTTCTCCCATTCTCTCGTTTTTTTCATCCCTTCCTCCTTTTCTTTCTCAAGTTGATTCCCCGCATCTAGATCAAAGAAAGCGTTGCAATAATCATTTTCATCTGTCACGCCCCGTTTAACGTCCTTATGCTGCACGCCTCCTTCCGTAACCCCTGGTGGCAGCTGGAGTTGGGGCTTCCCTTGGGATGTGGAAAGAGGCGGTGGCACACAGGGAGGAGGCAAAGAAGGACGTGAAGGCGGATTACACGACCTTGGAAGTCCTCCACTCGTGTTACCCATATGGATGGAGCACGAGGAAGAACCTGCTGATGAGTGGTATTTTACGGACGTCTCGTTGGTGTTCTGCTGGAGAGAGAAGCGGTTTTTTGCTCCAGCCTGTTGTCGCTTCTTGAGGCAGAAGCCGAGACATACAACGAGGAGACTCATCAGCAGCACCGACACAATAATCGCAACCCACAAGAAGTTGAAGTCTTCCTCATCATCACGTGTTGAGGGACTCTCCGTTGGTACTCACCGATGGGCGGAGGTGGTAGAGCAAGTTTGCGGTGGACGCAGATGGTGGGAGGGGAGGAGTATGTTGGGAGAGGAGGAGGAGGGTAGCAATTCACTGAGACCCGGCGGGTGGCTCCTCCTCCCTCTCAAAACGGTTTAAAACCTCAATTTTCGTTAAGCGGCACAGCGTTATACGAGGACTTACTGTACCTATACCAAACAACTGACCAGCCACGGCAGCACTTATCCCCTCTTTTAAGTTATCTAATAGTAAAATTTTCTTTGTCAGGGTCATCACTGACTTCTGCCTTTTACATTTCACTCCACTAGCATTGACGCTAGGCAGTCTTTTAGGGGCCATTTCACACAGAAACACTAAAGTTTTGAGAATATAACACAAGATGCTGCATGGGTTAACTTGTTGTGCTGCGGAAAAGGCTTGCAAGATAGCCACCATCTGCTTACCGCGAATCGTCGAAATCACGAATCACAAACTCGTTAAATTAGGGGTGCAGGTGGGTAGAGCGGTACCGCTCTTGCCTCGCAAGCGAGATGTCGCAGGTTCGATTCCCAGGCCGGTGGAAAGATGTTCAGACACACTTCCCAGCCTCCCTTGGTCCCCGTTCACCTAGCAGCAAAGTAGGTACCTGCCGTAAATCGAAAGTTGCGAATTCGTATTCAGGAAAAGTTGTTGGAGCTTCCAATAACTTGCTTAGACATAAACCATCGACTCTTCAGGCTTCTACGCCCTTAACTCACGAGACATAAAGGCAAGCGCGAACTTAGCACGCTTCCCCGTTGGGCGCTGTAAACACTTCTGCGCTTCACCTTACACAAGGACGTAGGGGGTTGCAAAAAAAAATGGTGAACGGCAAAGGTGTACCGTATTCAATCAGGAAAATACCCCATTAATACAGATCATCCTCCTCTAACTAACACTGATCAGACTCATCTGAGATATACAGTATAAAAGAGGGTCAACTTTTTTATATTTGCTCTTTCAAACCTTTCTGCTGTTTAATGCTAAATGAGAACACAATTACAGTACAGTACTACAAAACTCATGGGAGTGGTAAAACTAAACCAAAAGCAATGCATAATACTTACATTTTCGTTTTTCGTGGAAGATTTGCATCTTTGTTGTGTTTTTTTAGAGAGACATCATAATGAACCAGTTCTGCAAACTTATTTTTAACACTGATTGGAAAATAGTTTGTCTCCAGGTTAATTTTCAGGCCTTTAGAGCCAACATCTGTCCTAGGTGGAGGCTTCGGATCTAAAAGCAAAGTACAGTACATTACAGTTCAGTAATTAAATAATAATATGCATTTAAATCACACCAGCTAATTCATCTATTTACCTTATGATAGTGTCTGGCATTGCAACAGTTATGTGATGCTGTATTCATTAAAGAGATTTATCTACTTAATAAGAAAACCATAAAATTAAATGGAATACGTATAACTACAGTACATGCACTGGTTACAAATCATCTTAATTACGAAATTATCCAGTTTGTACATACCATTACTCAAATGACCTGACTACCGACTGCTGCGGTGCTTTTTGAAGATTAGTAGGGTCATTTCCTAATACCTGACCATTGTGGACTTGATCTCACCCTCCTCTGTATACATATATATACCTTGTTATGTGCTTCTCCTTAGTCTGTCCTCACCCCTGAAGATGTGAATTACACGAAAGCGCTTGGGAACTTCGAGTTTTCTTCTTTCCTTGTGGTTATCAGCATGCATATATACATATACAGTGACCCCTCGGTTAACGAACTCAATCCGTTCCAGAAGGTCGTTCGTTAACCGAAAAGTTCGTTAACCGAAACCATTGTTTCAATGGGTTTTTGGGTAATTGGTTCCAGCTCACCGAAAATTTCCTAAATTCAACAAAAATGGTAGAAAAGTTCACTTACTTTGAGGTGTGTATGTAGAAGGCTCCTGGATGATGATGATGATGATGTGCATTTGAAGTGGGAGGTGGAGGAGGAGAAGGGAGAAGAGAAGGAAGTGGAGGTGGAGGAGAAGCATTTTACTGCTTCTTGGAAGGTGAGTCACCTTCCATGAAAATGTCAGGAACCTCTGGACTGACAGATTCTCCACCAGGAACATCCTCTCTCCTTCTTGAAGTGGAAGGCTGAGGGATAGCATCTTGTTCCCTCTGCCTTTTACTGAAGAAAGTGTCAATTGTGGTCTGTGGGGCATCTGTCCTCCTCACCATTAACTTATGTTTAAAGAAGGAGACCACTGAGTCCTCAACATGACACAAAGTTAGTTCAGTTTTTTCCACTTCTGGGTGCTTTGAAGCCAGTTCCCTGAACTTCTCCCAGTAGTAAATCACATCTTTCAACTGTTTAGCTGACATATGGTCATCACTTTCAATTTCCTTCTCACCACTGTCAGCCTCTACCTGTAACATCTCATCCAGTTGCTTCAAGTCATCAGGAGTAAGTTCCTCCTCATGAGACATCACAAGCTCTTCCACATCCTCCTCCTCCACTTCAAGACCCAATGACTGACCAATGGACACAATCTCCTTGTCCAACTCTGTTTCTTCCTCAAATCCCTCAAAATCATGGACTACTGATGGCCACAGTGCTTTCCATGAAGAATTGAGGGATCTAGCGGAGACTCCTTGCCATGCTGACACAATCAATTTTACAGCCTCCAGGATGTTGAATTGTGTCTTCCAGAACTGTTTCAGTGTTAGTTCAGGATCAGCGGAAGTTGCCTGATGACACCTCCTAAACATTTTCTTCATGTACAACTTCTTGAAGTTGCTGATCACATTCTGGTCCATTGGCTGTATGATTGATGTAGTGTTTGGAGGCAAAAACAACACTTTCACAAAGTCAAATTGATACTCCAAATTGCTGGCAAGGTCAGGGTCATGACCAGGAGCATTATCCATGAGGAGAAGAACCTTTAAAGGGAGTTTATTGGTGGTTAGGTAGCTCTTGACAGAAGGGCAAAACACATCAACAGCCCATTCATTAAAGAGCTGTCTTGTCACCCATGCCTTACATTTGGACTTCCAATAAACTCCAAGTTTTGTTCTTACCACTTTCTGTTGCTTAAACACCCTGGGGTTTTCAGAGTGGTAGACAAGCATAGGCTTCAGTCGGAAATCCCCTGAAGCATTGGCACCAAGCAATAGAGTGAGACGGTCTTTCATGGGTTTATGCCCAGGTAAAGAGGCTTCATCTTTGGTGATGAATGTTCTTTTGGGCATCTTTTTCCAGAACAGCCCAGTTTCGTCCACATTGAACACTTGCTGTGGAAGATAATTTTCTTCTTCCATCAGTTTTTTACATTCTGCTAAAAACTTTACTGCCCCTTCTTTATCAGCACTAGCAGCTTCACCATGCCTAACAACACTTAAAATGTCACTTCTTTTCTTAAATTTTTCGAACCAGCCTTTGCTGGCCCGAAAATCTTCAAATTCTGTGCCTGAAGAACCAGGTTGATCTGCCTTTAAATGTTCATAAATCTCCCTGGCTCTTTCACAAATGAAATCACCAGAAACTGAATCACCTTTCATCTGTTTTCCCTAATCCAGATTATAAGTAACCTCTCAGTTTCTATGATTAGGGATCTACTTTTGAACACTCTTGTAGATTTGTCTCACTTTCATTTCTGTAAATTTGTCTTTCTGTGCAAGAATTGTCGACACAGTTGATGCCAACATGCCATATTCTTTGCTAAGCACATTTGATTTAATGCCTTGTTCATGTTTTTTTATGATTTCCTGTTTGGTTTGGATTGAAATAGATTTTCTTGATCTCTTAGGCCCCATGCTGGATTCAAACAATGTCAATACGTGTTTTTCAAAGTTAAACTAGCCGTAAATAAAGAATATTTTCTTTAAAATAACACTGCACTGCGCTATACTGTATATTGTCAATATGTAAAATAAATTTCAAAATGACCAATAATTTGCTTGGAAACACAGAAAAAAAGCATTTAGTTGAAGAGAGTCTCAAGCAAGATGTTACCTCCAGTGAAAACAGAGAGAGACTAACGCCTGTCTGGTGTGTTAACAGGCTGGATGGCACGCCAGAAACTAGTTTCTTTACCTTCAATTATGTTCAATAATTGTTAAAATGACTAAAAAATTGAATATTAAACTTTTAAAATAATTGAATAGTATAAACTTCTTGATATTTACTAAAATAGTAAGGCATTTAAGCCCTAGAACCGATTAATGTATTGGCGGACTGATACTAAAGCTGGTTGCCCGGTCAGTGCAAGCGAAAACATGTCGAGGTCGGTTCGTAAGAAATTCGTTAGCCGAATTTTTGTTCGTTAACCGAATTGAAGATCCTTATGGAAGGCAGTTCGTTAACCGAAATTTCGTTAACCGAGGCGTTCGTTAAACGAGGGGTCACTGTATATATATACATATATATACATATATATATATATACATATATATATATATATATACATATATATATATACATATATATATATACATATATATATACATATATATATGTATATATATATATATATACATATATATATATATATATATATATATATATATATATATATATACATATATATACATATGTATATAGTTATATATATATATATAAATATATACATATATAGTAGGTGTCTATATATATATATATATATATATATATAGTTATATATATATATATATATATATATATGTATATATATAACAGTATATATATATATATATATATATATATATATATATAGTTATATATATATATATGTTACAGTATATAGTTATATATATAGTATAAGCATATAAGTATATGGCATATATATAGTTATATATGTTAAGCATATATGTTACATATAGTTATATATACATACATATATATATATTGTTGTTACATATATATATGCATATGTTAAGCATAATATTATTACATGCATACATATACAGCATACATATCAAGTCACTTTAACCCCTCCACCCAGCACTACGAACCACGCCATCTATTGTCCTGATCTACCTACCCAGCACCCCGAGCAACGCCATCTAGGGACGAGACACGAGTATGACTCGTCTTAGTTACCACTCCGGGGTTTCTCTTCTCCATATCCTGGTTGTTGCGTCACCTCCTCAAAGTCTTCTTTGTGAGCTCCAATTCGAGGAGAGAGCACTTGGCTCTGGGAAGTGACCACAGGATCATCTATCCTCTAAACCTACGTGCAGTGACTACCTACCGTCTTCTACAATACTCAGCCTTACTCGTCAGCCATCTCAGCTCCTCACTTAAGTACATGTATCTTGTATTACCTCCCCCACGTCCACTTGCTTCAAAATTGTTTATGTTGTATTAATATGTATATACTGTTAATGTTTAGGTTAAGTTTGGTTAAGGGTAATTTCTAAGCTGAATATTTTGTTAAGGGATTTATGGTACTCTATTATATACAACGAAAACTCGCATCCTTTGTCTACCCTTTTATAGTCCGATTGTCTTTGTTTTTTTTTTATTGTTGTTACCTGTTGGGATCTGGGTAGACGTATAACTATATTCTAAATCCCCAACTCGTAACAAATGGCGACCGTGACAGGACACGACCTTAAGTACCATATTCCTTCCTCCCTTGTTACTCAGTGTTAATTATTCCTCCCAGTCACTTCTGTTCACAATTGCTTTACGGTAGTTTAAAGTTTCCTACATATGTGTGTGCATATATTGGTATTATCGTATAGTAAGAGTGACAGACGTAGGATATTAGGTTCCAAGTGTCATAAGGCTTACATGTTATTACACGTGGCAGTTGTGTAGTAAGTCTTATCGAGTGTTGGGAAGAATCCGGATCTGTTTAATGCCGTACCCTCACTCCAGAGTAGGTTGTTCCATAGTCACTAGTTTACGGTGAAGTGATATCTTGGGACGCCACGCTCTACCAGGACCCCATAATTATAAAGCCTCAATTATTGTTCTTCTCATTATCTCATTCAGGGTCAATCATACCATTTATCAGGGTTGTTAATCCGGATCTTTATATTAATGCCGTAATACTCCCTAC